TGATGTTTTGCTGATAGGCACATCCGCAAAATTCAAATGTTCCCCCTGTTTCTCCCCCTTATGGCTGATTAAAAGTGCATTATTTTGGTTAGAATTTACAATCCGCTGTCTCTGATACATTTTGGGGAGATTTTATCGACACCGAAAATTCTCCCTCAATTTACAACGAGTAAGTTACTGGAATTTCATCAAAATATGGTAGATGCATACCAACAGTAATATTTGTACACTATTAAGTGCAGAGTGAGGTGAAAACGAATAAAAATTTGCTGAAAATATCAAGACAGGTATGATTTAGAAATTATTTACTTGTCATGGGCATACACTCATAGATATTCAATTTAAATGCGTTTTTAAGGGCTCCAAGTGACCAATCGCCACTGCCTTCAAAAGGCAAATAATTAAACCAATTTTTAATAAATTAAATTTAAAGAAAAAAGTGCTGTGGTCACTCCGAAATACGTTCCCCTAATTTGAAATGAATAATGAGGATTAGTCAGGAGTAGAGCATTATAACCCTGACAGTAGAAATGTGTCAGGAGAGACAATCACCCCGAATGACCCTCTAATTCAGAAGACGGAGAAGTGAGTTGAACCACGAGTATTGAGCAACTTTGAGAAAATTGAAGTGGAGTTAGAGGTCGGAGGAATTGTGAGCAAATGCTGACTCAACGTGAGTAGATTCATGGTTATGATATAAGGACCGAGCCAATTGGATTTAGCTATTTCGCTTGCCTTATTCATATGATAAGCAAATAATGAGCTCATCTGATAATATGCATGTGCGATGGAAGGCTGCATTACAAACCAAAATTACAACCAGATTATTCGACTACCACACACTATGCCAACTTTCAATGCAACTAAGGAAGAGGTAACCACATTGTTATCCTTCATCAAACCGAGAAAATGTATTGCTCTTCACAGCATCAATTATTTCACTCAGAATTCATGTTACGAGGTTAAGCAACTGATATTCCAAAATTAACTGCACTAAACCTGAGACCAAACACCTATTAAAAGCAAAAGGTGCGTTTTAGCTTTTGTGAAACACCCTCCTGAACTCTCCTCTCCCCCACTTTAAGAAAAGAAACCAAGTTTTAAAGTTAAATACCGACCAAAAAAACGAATAGACGGATCAGTAAATGCAAGGATATTATTATTTTGATTATTAGGGGTGTGCGATAGACTTACCTCCACGTGGTGCACCCTGGGTAACGTATACTCATACGGCGAAAAAAGTCTATAAACCGGCAGTTGACTTCTGACTTCAAGCTACCATCACCTCACTGTATGTCATATTCGACATCTTTCACAGTATTCACCTAATCTTTTTCCTACCCTTTCTAACTTCATCTTTGAATCACTCTTCTGCTCCTCCCTCCCCCTCCTCTCGACTTTTTTCACTTTGATGTTCCTCCCCCCCCCCCTTTGTGAAGCCTGAAGTCAACTAAAGAGCTAATGATAGCCATCAAAACGCCTGCCATTTGATATAAATAAATTTTGATTATTAGCTAGAAATTATCACTTCCATGGGCAATTTTCCGCTAAATAATAATAATAATAATAATAGTAACAACAACAACAACAGCGATAGCAAACATGCAATACAACAAACTTTCATTTCCGCACGCTTTCCACTGAGCCTTATTTCTAGCCCCAAATAATGTCCACACACACACACACAAATGAATAAGTCTCAGAGCAGAGCAATAAAACCAACCAGACAGAAAGTGTGGTTGGAGGCAGAGAGGATAGAGGCAGAGAATGAATGTGCGACGGCGCGGATAATGTTTCGTTCATTTGTGTTGTCTTCCTCTAACTATCGCCATTTAGCCAACTTGTCCCTTAGGGAACTACCAGAATGGCTATTAATGTGCTGTGTTTGGTATTGGTACGTCTGTGTGTGTGTGTGTGAATAAAAAAGTTCCATTCAAATTATCCAAATGAATTTATTCATGTGAGACGTATTCTGAGTTTTAAATTCGATTATCTGCATTAAATTGAACATTCAAGACTGCATGTTTAGATTATTGTAAGTCTACCCGCCTTTCAAAGAACTCAGATATATATATATATATATATATATATATATACTTCCGTTTGCATTATTTGCAAGCCTTGGTTTAATGTGAGAATTCGCAACTGGAGAATTAGGTGATTATTGAGACGATCAAAGAGGGTATTATTTGTTTATCTACAAACTGAACTACCTATCAGCTTGATAACGCATACACAACTTTCACTTCCGTTCACAGGAAGAGGATTAAATGGAAAGAGAATTAAAAATTGGCGGTTTATTTGAAAAAAAGAGACCATTGTGGAAAGATAGGAAGAAGAAAGCTACTCAAATGGTATTATTAAAGCAAATGCGAAGAAAAATCGCAATGAATAAATACTCATTAGACAGGAATACAACTCAATTAACTTCCAAAAGTTGGTGATGAGATGTTGTGCCCGATCTCGACGCAGCGTCAATATGATCATAAGTGGAGTCAGGGGGGGGGGCGGGGACCATTTCGCTGCCTATCGGAGCGAGCCCAATGAGTAGGATGACCAACTACCGATGATCAAGTTCTTCTAATGAAATAAAGGCAGAACTCTTCTCTCCCGCAATAAGGCCACCATTTCTTTTGCACAAGAGAACTTTTGGATGGCCTTTCCTCGAAAGGTTGTCCAAATTTTGTCAAAGACTAATAATGTAATCTTCACTGGTTTTCCTTAATAACAATACTACTAAGTAGATTAAAAGGTACATTATTTTTGGATTTTCTTTGTCAACTATAACAGGGAAACACTTTAACAACGTTTTTATTTCGATACATTTGTCATAGAAACTAAATATTAACCAGTCACTTAAATTGCTCTTTCATTCGACCTAAGTAAATGACTGAGTAACGCTGCAATACATCTATAACTTTCAAATAAGATTTGTCATATTTTAATTAGACATAATTTAAGATATTTAATTTCCAGATTGAGCTGTAACTCCAGTAGACAGCGATAAATTTTAACATCGCCATCAATGTTAGAAAAAGAGATTAGAGTAACCATTAAAACCATTAAAATCCAAAATTTACTATCCCCCTCATAAGCAGAGAGGCAGTATTCGAGATTTTCCATCAGTTCAAGATGGAGGCAGATAAAAATTCATACGATTATAGTTTGATCAGTGGACATCCAGCTAATAAAGTTAAAATCTAAGGTGCAAATCATTTTAAAAGTGAGAACAATGTATTCACTCTGGCACTGGTACTTTGCTCCCTCTTCTAATTTGTGTTGAAAACTTGGGTTAAAATGAAAAGGATCTCTTGATTTCAACCCAAATTTAAGAAAGTATAGATATATCTGCACTAGCAATTATGGACTAAAAAGGTGACTTGAAATTGTGGAATGGTTCTTCTTGTTGAGGAGTTTCTCCCACAACTACCTGATATTAAGCAATTGCACAACTTAATCAATAGAGTTGCGCACTTCACATTTCACATTTATGAAATTGTCCGCAAATATATTGATTTTATTGGATTTCTTGAAGAAATACCATTTCAATACCCTTTTATTGCTATAATCAGGCAGTGGGTACAATCATTTTGACAAATTTGAGCTAAAGACAATTTACTGTGTAGATATCCACAAGTTTGGCGTGTCAAAGTGGCGCTTTAGTTCTCAATTTCCCCAACAAAGACAAATCTAAACTTTTACGTTTACCACGATTGAAAGTCTAAAATATTTCCGGAATAAACGAGAAAATTAAATTTTCGGTTAATTTCATTGTCTTTCAAGTTCCGTTAAGCCTTAGTGAGAGTGTTCTGACTTCATTCTTTCAAAACTCTAAGCTATTGATTTATTTTTAGAAATTAGTAACCGAAGGTATCACGGCTTCATGGGCAACATATTTTACATAAAAAGACCTCTGTATTTAAGATTTTTCCCTTGAATTCAATCCCATTTTCAATCATTTTCAAAATATCGGCTTCTTAAAGCATTTCTTTTTCAAAGTTATTACCTTTTAGGATTTACGAATCTATAACGAAATTCAACGAAATTACCGAAAAATTTATGCTCAAGTGTTTTTCATATTTGAATTAAAAAATGATTCCAATTAACGTGAGAGGGAGGAGAGCAACTGCTACGAATGTCGATTTAAACTTTTGACAAACGAAACTCTGGTCAAAAAATCTTTTTTTCTCCAAGCTAGTTAACGGAACAAAAGCTGGGCTAGAGAAAATGCTAATTTGATATAATACGGTTGGCAGCAATTAGATGATTTTATTTAAACAAAAAATTCCATTTAAATAGTTAGATTCGGTAAGTTATGGCGCAAGCATAAAATTTTATTAATTGTCCTCACACACACACACACACACACACACTTTACGACTGCAGTAAAAATGGTAATCTTTATCTCTGTAAGCACTTTAAGTCAGCTATCGGTACGTCAGTCACGATTAAAAGCTAACTAGCATTCAAAGAAACATTTGGGAACGTTCATCCATCCGTTGCAAAAGCTCATAGTCTCTCTGCAAGACTGCATTAAAGCGCAGACTTTTCTAATTGGCGGTTAACGAATTCAAAAGAATTTACATCCCGCGGTGTAAAGCTAGTGAACGGAATACCCAACCAAACCCGATTAAGAAGAACTAATTGGGAGAAGAGGGACGGCTGAGTTTAAATTTCTCAATATGGAATTCGTATGATACTGCCATCTAGTATGGGAATATTGCAAAGCAATCCGCCGAATGGGATGGGAACGTTTTTTTCCTATTATTTTGTGTTTTGTGTGTTTAATTAGAAAACAAGTAGACAAATCAAAATTGGACTAACACCAGAAGGTAGAATTTAAGATTCCAATCGAAGTATCAAGAAATGTACTCCTCTCCCCAATATGACAGTTGGAAAGAATCCACTCCATGGGACTGCAAATTATTAATGAATGAAAGGCGATCAATTCAACCACAATAAGGGAATATCATTTGACTGAATGTTGTTTTATTTCATTTTCAAGGTCTTCGTGCCTATTAAGGCAAGGATTATTAAATTTAATTACATTTCACTTATTATTCAAATTACTATATTTAGTTAGCACTTAAATATACGCCTGAGTTAACACGTGGAGAATACAGATCACTTTCTTCTATTTTCCCTATTAGTTATTGATTTTTTTCAAGTTATTTCTTCTATCGATTTTTTTTCATTAGCCACTGAAATGGTGTGAAGAATTAAGCAATAAACCATAGTGAGTTGGGATAAAGTTTTTTTGCTTTTTAGAAGGTATAAATTGAGCGGCCACGTAAGTTGCCATGTTGCTTGCAGTTAACGTAAACAGGGCTCTTATGCTCCTATTTTTGGTCGAGAATAAAATTTAGTAAATAGGAATTATATTTTCACTTCAAATGCGGCTTTATTTCTTGCATTTTTGGATGATCAGCCTGCTGCACGATTAGATTTCACATTAGCAAACCGTTGGTTTATTTTTCTGCGGTCTGGTTACCTTAACAGCCGGCCGGATCTGACCCCGTAAAACTGCTATCACATCTTACTGAATGTGAAATAGCATATCTAATCGGCGATGTGGACCATCCTTTGATGTAGGTGCCCAGAAGCATTAATTATTTGTAAAAAAACAAAGAAAAATACGAGAAAACGCGAAATTTCTAAATAAAATGAATAAAGGTATATCAGCCCTCACTTCAAGGTGAGTTTTGAGGGAAATCTTATTATTTGAAAATTTGAAATTTTTTAATGTTATGAATTAAGTTGTCAGGAAGAGCATGAAGAAGATAGCTACGGTTCGGGTATACTTTGAAAATGATACCAATATCACTGCCTAAATCTCAACTTTGTATAGTTTCATGCTAAAAAATAATACTTGACTACCTTAGTTCCTTAAATTAACCTTTCACAATCAAGACTAATTCTTTGAAAACCTTAAATTTTAATAAAGTATCAAGTTGTTTTGGTCTTTAGAACGAAAAAAAAACATAATCATGAACGGTATCATCAACTGCCATTCGCTCACGCCTGGCATATGCCAGTTACACAAAGCTAGATATCTTCCAGTCAAAATTGTAACGATATGGTGGAAATTTCTCCACCTGCCTTAGATAAGAATTCGGAAATAAAATCTCTATGGAATTTCCGAAAGCATTATGATACGATTTTGAAAGTGATAAAAAAGCTCTTACCCCTCCCTTGGTGACAGTTGCACATTGAAGCCGGTAAGAGGTGATTTTGGATCCATTGTCGGCTGGAACTGCCCAACGAACACAGAGAGAACTCTTTGTCCTCGCGAAGACATTCGGTAAGCGTGGAGGTGCTGGAATTGTCGTTAGAGTTGTAAATTCCGCCGACTCAGATGCGGCACCACAAAGACCCTCATACATGCAGCATACTCTGAAAAAGGGAAATCTATCATGCAAGATTTCACCAATTTGACAAAATAAGCGGATACCTCTCTCGGTAGGGCACGGCAGACAAAGGTGACCGACCGTATTGGGAAACTTCATAGGACTGGAATTTTATGAGCTTAAGAGAGTCTTTGTCTCGCCAATTCCATTTATTTCTTCCCAATTGTTATAACAACACACCTGGTTAAAGTAATATATACATACATTTAGAAAATTTAATCTGACCTTTTGATCCGAAAGAATGAGCAAACCTCAACGTTCAGAAATATGACCAGAAAATATTAAGGGCCATAAACGATGCTTGGAGGGACAAAATACGTAGTTAATCAAAATGTTTCCCGCTAACAATAACAACGCACTAAGGCTAATGATTTGTCAACATTCCAAAACAAGAACTTAGGAAGAAAACAAAAGCAATCATTCATTCAAGACAGAGGGAGAGTGTGAGTTAATTAAAGCTGGAAACGGCATCGTCACAAGTGTATACAAGAAACTACGTGATTAGGAGGTACAGAAAGGGGTGTAGTTGGCGGAGGTGTGGTGGAATCAGCAAAACACCACCGCGGTTTCCTAAATCCAGATCAGAAAAATAACTGGAGAAAGAGAGAGAGGGAGATCTGAAAAGACACCAACGAAGTTATGATAGCCACCGCACTTTCGATCGGTGCCATATTTATATTCTTACAGCAACTGTTTTCAAGATGGGAATACAATGCTTCATGAGTTATGAAGCTTTTTACTGGGGGTGGGTAAGTGTGGACCCCACAATAAAGTCACTTGTGGACAAGATATGGAGGAGATAATAAAACATTCAATGCAGTTAATTTGAAGCGGACATGTGTTCATGACACCTGTTGCTAGCCTGATTCAATAATACTCAATCATCTAATGAAATATCCAACTAAAAGTCAAAGAGAATGACATTGAAGGTTAAAAGTCCCCTTTCTGGGAAACATTAACCCCAAAATTCCGCAGAATACAATTCCATACCTACTAAATTTCCTTTAACTACTGGCTACGTGATGTTTGACCGCTTTGGAAAAGTGGCACGAACTTGATTTGCCGAAAAGAAATTAATGAGAAAGACCTCTAAGAATAAACAAGATTTTGAGAAAAAATGACGATAATGGTGTCTAGGTGTCAGAGAGACGCCTCAACCTGTTGATGGTATAGTTTCAGGGTCGATTTTGGAGAAGTGATATTATTCCAACTTATGCATGCACCGTGATCCAGTGTCAAAGTTTTGCCACAAATATGACATTTGAAGATCATCAAAAACCAATTTACGCACAAGATGGTTGAAAAGGCAGTACCTACGAGGACTTATAAATGTTTATCCATCCAGACAATTAATTAAAGATTTCAGTTTTAACCAAGACTTTGTCGAAGGACAGGTTTAGGTCGAAGCTAAGATTCCAAGACTGCAGATTGCATAATAGTCATGCGAGGTTTAAGAGAATGCAAATGAACTTAATTGTGAACTAAGGGATTACTTAAAAATTACTCATAAAATAAGATTTAGCATTAACGAGGTCATATTACACAGATCTGGTGGTATGAATCAATTGCAATGATTACTATTGTTACAGAGAGTAAAGGTCGTTTTTTTTCAAATCACATTTTTATAGAGACGCCCTCAATTCACGATATGTAGGGACGAGAATATCCCATTAGTAAAGCAAGCCTAAAGAATGTACCTATTACACACTGACTTTTGAAGCAAACCTTTTACAGTCATGTTAATCACTAACCCATTGGTAGAAAGTGCACAAATTGTGCCGATTTACGGTAATTGATAAGGTGTGTCTCGAACCCCACCCACCCCCCCATTCCTCTCTTTCTGAACAAAAGTTTTACTCGAAAATTCTCCTTGTTATTTTATCGAATACGTGAAAAAAGTTACCACGTAGTAAAACTATTTTTTGCGTGTTTCTTTTCCTTTACTTTCTGTTTACTAATTCCTCAAATCGATTTAAGTAAGCGCTATCCACCACAAATTTTTGGGAAGGACAGAATTATGAGGCTTTATTGTTTTTTATTCGAAAGTCTGCTAGCTTTAACCAGTTGAGACTTCACTGACTGTGAACCGACGGACATTGAACCACCGATCTCTGAGATCCTGAAACAGCACGTCAACTGCTGTTCCACTGGCCCACGATTTTAGTTGGTTAGCCTATTGTGCCAGTTTCTTAAGAATAGCCTGAGTATACATTGAAAAAGATGCTAAATTTGAACCACCAAAAATGATAGATCTAAAACCTGAAAAATTCCTTTCGAGAGCAAAATGTTTCATAGATCCGAATACACGCCACTATACTTACGCAAAACTGTTTAGCCATACCTCCATCTGCGAGATACCGATTTTGAGAGGTTCGTGGCATCATATTCGTCTATTCTCATTGCAAGTGTGCAACAGTAAAATAAATTAACTTTTGTGCCACAGATGCAACTAACATTTTGAGTTTTTTTACACAACTTCAATTAGCAGCTTCCTACGGTGATCATTCTTCCTTTTTATTTTGTGTAAAGGAGTGAAAATGCTGACTCTACGTTGAACACGTTGGGTCATGCCAACAGTTAGTAATGAATGCAGAAAAAAAGGCAAGGCCAACTTGAACAGGCAAGTAATGTCGATGCCTACGGCCTAATTGTTTTAGGTCTGGTTCTCCGGCAAATTCAAGTGAATTTTAGTGGTTGTGCAATTGTACCGTAAGGCCATGCCCTCACCTCATCCATTCAATTCGTGATGCTTCAGCATTTTGCCTTATTCAATTTCTGGTCACTTGAATTGCAAGTATTCTGAATATTGCCCTAAACCCGCGTTACTGGTGGGGGGGGGGGGGGGGGT